GCGGCCACAGCCAACCGAGACAGCTCCTCCGGGTTTTGTACACAATAAACCCCCCCTCTCGGTGGATCCCAAACGTTACGCCCTTCTTATTGTGTTCTTCCTTGGGGATTATAACAGGGCGTTATTCGACGGTGACACACGTCAGGTGTCATCGTTATAACACTAGCGACGCTGAACCCGTCGTTATAACACTTTTGGTCACCTCTCTATGAGGTGACAAAGTGAGGAGGACAAGCAAGGATTGAGGGAAGATAATTAAGCAAACGTCGACTGCAAAAGAACCTTTGGGTGAAATACAAAGACTGCTTTTTGAAACAGCCATCTCAAATTCGATGCGAAAACGGAGCAGCGATACTCCAGGTCATCAGTGAAAGCTGACTGTGATGGTTTGCATACGTTTCTTGTCGTCAGTTTGCGTTGGCGGCTGCATAACTGGAGTGGAATATTTCACTCTAAACCTGCTCCGACAGTCAGTCAAGACGTCGTGGTTCTGGGACCTATGATATTCAACCATCGTCACTGAAGAAGAGAGTGAATCAATTTTTCTAAACTTGCCGTCACCGATCATCACACGTTAAGTATTAAACACGATGACAGTGAGCCCGGCTAAGCCAGACATTACTAAAGTCTTACCATAGCAGATACTATCAAAATGTTTTGATTTCGTACGTTAGTTATCAAAACCATACTACTCACCATGAATAACAAACATCGGGTTGCTTCCCTGGTCGTCCATTAAGTCCACCACTGGGCAACTGGCGCTCAGCTAACCACCAAGCCGCTTTTCCTGTATCCAATTGTCGCAACTGTCCGAGTAGGGACATTGCGCCAACTACACAGTAAGCTTGACCTGCATGAGATTCGCTGCCCGGTCGGGTGCCGAAACCTCCATCGCGATTCTGGCAACGAACAAGGAAGTTCGCCGCCATTTCAAGGTCGACACCCTCTACGGGACGTGAGAGGTCCGGCACCTGAGATTTCAGGAGCCCGAGAAGGGTCATTGATGCGATTGCGCAAAAACTGAAGCGCGAGTCGACCTCACCCCATTTGTCGCCGTTAAAACTGCCATCCGGATTCTAGGCAAACATGCAGTAAATAATTGACAAACATAATTAGTAAGAAGGGGACAAGGAGGCAAATGATAAGGATAGTGTACGGAAGTTTTGTTTTGTCTTCGTGATTGTGTGAAAAAAGTAGATTTCAAAAAGTGGATTAGAAGAGAAGATTTAAACTTCTGGTACTGCAACCAAGCTCCGGATGCAATACAATACAATAGTAACCTGTAACATTTTCCTAACGGAATACAGATGGTTCGGGAAGCGAAAACCGATAAAAGAGCGTTGTGCTTAAATTTGCAGTGGAACAAGCGATTGAACTGTTAAGGAAGAGCAATGGCGACTGCATTTGATCTATAATAAGGGTATGATCAGTAAAATCATTGATGTAAAACTGCTTAAAGTTAATGATTTAAGTAAACGTAGGGTTTGCTCTAGAAACTGACATGCTGGTATTCTTTGTACTTAACTGAACTTGATATGGCTGTGATTATGCTTGATCTAGCCGGCCTCAATGATGTTACGGACGATACTATTCCACGCGTGACGATTGGCGGCAGCGGATCTAGAAAGCCCCACCTATCTTCTTCTTCTCCAACGATGGAGACCGAAAATCGACGGTCCAAGAACAGTTTCCATGTCTTGACGAACGGTGTCGAGCCAAATCTTCAGTTGCCCACCTCTTCGACACCTCCAGGTTGGCTGCAGCGCTGGATCGAAGGCCGCGTAGCAAAGCTCATGCGGCGCCGTTGGTTGTCGGTAGCTTTAGCGGAATTCAAGTATCCGTCTCTGTGTGAATATCTGGTCCGCACATCCACGCCTAGCGCAGAATCCGGCTTGGTTGGGCCGCGTCTTAGAGTCATGCACAAACCAGAAGCGCCTAAGAACAATAGCGAAAATCTTCGCAACGACGTCGATACCTTATACCGCGGTAGTCTCGAACCTTGTCTTATTTCCCTTCTTGTAAAAAGGTACAAGGATACCTGAGTCCTAGTCACCAGGAACGGTCTCGTCTCTCCAAGCTTGGCCAACTACCTCATGGAGCCAAGGAGCCGGACTGTCCACACAAAATTTGTAGATTTCAGCGGGAATACAGTCCTCTCCGGACGCATCATTGTTGCACAGCCTCTGCATTGTATCGCCAATTTCGTCTTCGAAAGGGAGGTTGCACGACGCTGCATAGGCTGGAGAAGGTTGCAACTCTGCTGCGGAGAGGGAGGGTGTCATTTGTTGTTCATCCAAGTTGAGGTGCTCGAAGTGTTTACGTCGGCAATCGACTTTGGCCGGGTTGTTGGCAATAAAACCGCCATTCACATCGCAAACAGAGTCACAGAGTGTCGAGGACTTATCACTAACTTAGCAGATAATTTGGTAGTTTTCGAGTGTCATCAACGTTTGAGGCTTGTTCTATGGAATATACTATTTCAGACCAATACTTCTGCCGGTCATCCCAAGCCGACTTTGATGTCAGCTTTTAGAATTGGCGGAAGAGAGCATAGTTGGGGGACTTGGCCCCAGCCGTCTGGGCAAACGACTGCAGGGCTTTTACGCTATTACAGTTCCTGCAG